AAGCTTTGTCGAGCAGGTTGGGGAAAGCCTGCCAGTTTTTCCGCGACGTTTTGAGGCCTTGGGGGTCGGTACTACCTCCTACCTGGCACCTGTGCCGCAGAGGGCTTCGGTTGTCTCTGGAAACGTGCGGGTAGCAGCCCGATCGCCACCCTTGCTGGACGCAGCTTGAGGAGAGACTCTTGCCGTTCGGCCTGGCCAGCCGAGTGCAAGATCTGGCCCCCAGATTCACCCTGGTAGGGCTCCTTGAAACTGAATTTCCTTACGGCGGCCTCCTAACGTTCGGAGGGGGGGGGGAACGAAAGTCCGCTACTGTGGGTAATCCAGTGTTTCGTTGGGCCTGCGGGCAAGTGGGTGTGGCGCCGGCGCCCGTGTTCTCTGGCTGGCTACCAGAGAGCCCCGTGCAGCTGTGACGGCTCCGGGCTACATGAACGCTGCAGTTCTCGGGCTCCAGCCTGAGGCTGCATGGGCCGACTGCGTGTAAATTCATGCAGGCACTCTGGGCACCCTCGTAGGAGGTGGGCCGGGCGCTTCGCGCGCGACCAGCTCGGGTATTCAGTGCTGGGCAATGATACCTCCTACCTCTTCCTGCCTCCTGCCTCCTACCTTGTCCTGCCTCCTCCTACCGGGATGGCCCAAATCCAAAATCGGCGGCGAGCAGGGGGGGGGGGGAAGTGAGAAGGACATGTTTTTTTTGTCAGAAGGCGTCGGGACTCCTCAGGATCCCTCGTGCCTTCTGATAACTCTTTTTTGTCCTCGGGGAAAGCATAGAAAACTTATCAGAACGCCGGGGGAATCCCGAGTCTTCTGAGAAGGCTCCTGCCTTCTCACGTCCCCCCCTTGCTCGCCGCCGAGTCGAGATGCCCCGCTGCAATGCCCCCCCGTCACATGGACCCCAATGACAACTTCTCCTGCGCCAGAGTTTCGGACCAGGACATCGCGACGAAGACAGCCGCAGCGCCGAGGCCCCCACCCTCGGAGGCCCCCGTTTCCCCCCAACGCCAGCGCACATCGAAGGTCTCTCTCCTGAGGCTTGAGGATCAGCCATGCGTGCCCTTTTCATTATCCTCCTTCTCCCTCTCCTCCTCCTCCTTCTCCTCCTCCTCCTCCTCCTCCTCCTCCTCCCCTCCTCCTCCTCCTCCTCCTCCTCCTCTCTCCTCCTCTCCTCCTCCTCCTCCTCCTCTCCTCCCCGCCTCCTCCTCCTCCACCTCCTCCTCTTCCTCGTCCTCCTCCTCTGTTAATCCTGTTCCTCCTCCTTCTTCTCCTCCTTCTCCTCCTTTTCGTTTTCCTTGTCGTCCTCCCGTTCCTCCCCCTCCTCCTCTTGCCCCTTCTCGTCCTCCTCCTCCTCCTCCTCCTCCTTCTCTCCCTCCTTCTCGTCCTCCTCCTCCTCCTCTTGGTCCTGTTCTCCCCTTTTTCCTCCAGCTATTCCCCCTTCTCCAAGTTACCCGCTCCACCTCCTCCTTCTCCTCCTCCTCCTCCTTCTCATCATCATCAGCAGCATCATCATCATCATCAGCAGCAGCAGCAGCATCATCACATTTCTCCTCCTACTCATCCTCCTCCTTCTCCTCCTTCTGCTCCTCCTCCTCCTTCTTCTGCTCCACCTTCTCCTCCTCCTTCTTCTCTTCCTCCAAATGTCCTCCGTCCCCTCCTCCTTTTCCTCCTGCTCCTCTTGGTGCTGTCGGCCCTACGGATGTACATGGCGTCTCGCAGGATAGCATGGGACTCCTCGTTTCTCCAACGGAGGTCTAGGCAACCAGAGGCGTTCTGCCAGGCCGTCCGCTCGCCACGTTCTGTGTCCAGTGCGTAATGATCGGTCCGTTCGGTCTCATGTATGGCAGCACGGCGCACATCACACGCACGGTGGAGTTATACGCAGATGATATCACGATCTCCAGCATGGGGAGGGTTCATGATATTGTAAGCGCGTCAGTTGCTATGTTAGCGAACCTTGCTACCACATTGGAAAGCATGGACCTCGCGCTTGCGAAACACAAGATGACTGACGCATGCTCGCCCGCACAGATCAGTGAACAAGTTGTCCGTCGTGTTCAACATCTAGGCTACCGTTATGCGTTGGAAGTTCTGGGGGTTGATGTGGACGCAGGTAAACGTCTCTATTCTGCACGCCTGCGCTCGAGGATCGGTGGTGACGATATTCTCGAGGCAGGCACTGCCTCCCGCTATGCAGTACGGAGTCGGGGTGCATGTCGCGCACCCCAGACTTGCCCAGCAAATACGAAGCGTCATGGGAGGAACCTTGTAGACTCCTGGGGCTACCACCTCCGCCTGGATTTCCTCTTGCATTCAGGGAAATGTAGGAGACGATCCACAGGTCCACTGTTGGACCCAGCCCATTGTTCAGTGGGCGCTCCTGGCTCGTGACAGGTGCATCTCCCATGACGCGTTGCAGAAGGCTTGGCATAGGCAGATATTTCGTGCCCTTCAGGTTCCGAACCCGTGGGAGCATGTTGCGGGCACGACAGGTGCCATGGCACTGGCGCTGGGGGACATCGGCTGGCGACCTGTGTCAGCTTTCGTCCTCGTAACGGATGTTATAGACAAGGTTGATTTACGAGCGGCCGCGCTTGTCAATGTTCACGCTCTGGTTAAAGCCGCTGCTGTTCGTAAGATGTGGCCGTCATGGGCAAAAAGGTGCAACCCCGTTGGTGACGGGATGGGCCCGAAGGAGCCCATCGGATATTGGCTGGAGCCCATCATAGGTATGTTCGGTCAAGCTCCTGTCGGTCCCGGCGATCGCGACCATGACCCCGAAGATACCCCAGACCAACTCTCCAAGTACCAACAAAACCATGCTGCACAGTCTTGTGGGCGGAGGTTTCTGGGCGCCTAGCAGGTTATATCGGCATGGCTACGCCATCACGTCATCTTGTCCCTTCTGTAACAACGGTTTCTCGCTTTCCATATCACATAGTCTGGGGATGCCCAGGTCGAGAACAGCAGAGACCAGCCTGTCTAGATACCACAGACACGCGATGATACCCGCCAAGGTCTCACGGATCGTGGTTCTGGACGCGAGGATTGGCCTCGCGATCTTCCGCCCCGCCATTGCCCAGGCGGGATGACAGTGACCGTTGGTATGTTGAGTCTGGCAGTTTTCATGGAGTCACAGGTGATGTTTACACTGCCGGCGCGTGCAGACCAGCGTGGTTCTGGCCAGAGTCGTCGAGAGCGGGGTGGGGTTTCGTTAAACACCCAACGAAGATTGACATCCTGGTCTTCGGTGCCCTCCCTGGTCCTGTTCAGAGCTCCCCAAGGGCTGAGCTTTACGCATTGTTTAAGGTGTTAGGGGTTTGTATCACCCTTGCACCAGTGCCTACAAACTACATGGGAATCCTGGACGGTTTGTCCTAGGGGGCTTGGGTACCCCTGCGGTCCTCGAGGCCCAGCGCTGACCTATGGAAGTCGATTCGGCACAAAATTGATGATCGTGGGGGCCTTGGAGAGGCCATGGGAGTTTCCCACGTTAGGGGCCACCAAGCAGGTGCTACCCAATATGCAAGAGCTAATAGATGGGCTGATCACGCTGCCAGAGCTGGCAGAGATTTGCACGCATCCACGCCTCAGCAGCAGAAGGCGATGCGCCTTGCCTTGAAGCCTGCCAGGAACGTGCTGCATTGGCTTGCCATTGCGCATGTGCATCACCTTCCCGCGGGAAAGACTGAAACTCGCCCGCGGGAGAAGGCCAAGCGTGGCCCCAATAATAAGAAGAAGCTTCGGGCTCAGCCGCCACCCTCTAACCTGTGCCATCACATGCCCGAGCAGAACGGGTTTGTTAGGTGCAGTTGTTGTAAAAAGGGAGCCAGGTCTTATAAAGCCCGCTTGCCTCTGTCACTGGAAGTCTGTCCAGCGAGAGGTAGAGCCCTGTTTGCGCCTCCAGACAGTGACGGCACCCAGGCACCGTCTCTCTGGCCCGACCCCCTAGGGACCAAGGCCATCGAGCCGATCAGGACCTGGTTCTGCCTCCTGCTCGGGATCCCTGGGAATTTTCGGGTGTAACCCAAGACGAGCGTAAGCGTGCGCCTGACCTAGCTCTCAGTGAGCCGCCCAGTCAGAGTGCCCGCAATGTTAGACAGCGTGTGGACTCCAACCCTGTTATATGCACGGCGTCGGTCGACGCCAGCGAGATAGTTGAAGCTGCAAATGGACTTTGTGTTCCCTCGGATGTGACTGCGCACCCTTGTGTCGCTTCGAGAATGGTCGACCCTGCCACTCCTATGCGAGGAGGCACTACTTGCGTCCCCGAAAGCAAGCGACGTCGCAAAGGACTGGGCCGCAACGATAGGCCCAAGGGGGCCGATTTCGCAGTCCCAGCGGCCATGGTGCCGCGTGTTGGCATTGCTCCTGCCACGGCTGCTCGTGGTCACAGAGTGTGGGCTGCGCCAGGCCATTGTGTCCTATGCGTGTCGTGCGTTTTTGTTTCGACGGGGACAGCTGGACACCTTCTGGTGAACTGTGCCACTTATAGATCTCACCTCGTTGAACGCGCTTCCCGCAACAGACGTTTGTTTTTGGCTGGGAAGCACCCCGCCGACGATGGCCGTGAGGGTTCCAGGACTTTTGTGGCTCCGCGTCTTCTGGAAGCGAAAGACCCCGAGGTCCACTGGCTGCGGCTCCCTTTGGAGCCGCAGTAACTACAGGCAGCCTGCACTCAAATATCTCACAGTGTGAGGCTGTCTTTTCCATATTTCATATCATTTTTGTGCTCCGCGCCCGCGCCGAGATCCCTCGGGTGGGCTTGGGTGCGCCAGGAGCATTTGAGGAAGGCACCCTCTGCCTGTCCTCCTCCGAGTGTGCCCGCCTGTGCTGACAGACGCGGCGGCGCCAAATAGCATCTTATCCTACTGTTGCTCCTCCTCTTCCTCCTCCTTCTCTTCCTTCTGCTCCTCCTCGTTCTTCTCCTCCTCTTCCTCCTCTTCCTCCTCCTCCTCCCTATTCCTCCTCCTCCGCCATGAGAATCTGGCAGGCGTGCCCCCCCAGAGGTCGAAATCGTAGACGACCGGGACACCGGCGGGGCGCTCACCTACCTGCTCGGTGGTGGGGGGCGCCGGTGCGGGGCCGTCGTGCGCCGTTAGGGGGGGAAGGACAGCAGCAGTCGACGGCGACGACGACGAACCACGGCGACGACGAGGACGACGACGACGAGGACGACGACGACTACGAGGACGACGACGGCGACGGCGACGACGACGACGACGATGACGATGACGAGGACGAGGACGAGAACGAGGACCGCGACGGCGGCGCAAATGTCTGCTTCGTCGAGGCATGGGTTCAGATGGTCTCAAAGAGCCTGTTTAGTTGAGGTTTGTGCGATAACGGCCATGATCGGCCCCCTCCCTCCCTCCCCCCCCCCGGATCACTTCACGTTATTTCGCACACATGTGCAACTATGTTTTGCGGGCTCAAATGGATTATCGCGAATAATTAGAAACGGGCTCAAACTCGAAACACAGACAACTACATAAACATGAAAATTCCCGGAGGTCCGTGCGTTTTTTTGTTTTTTTGTTTTTTTCAAAATTGCTGCGTGGCTTTTCGATACGGATCGGCCCGTGCTGTTTCCAAGGCGCCTCGGTGTGGACGGATGCCGATGTTGCAAGCTGTGTGTCTGAAGGGTGAGACTCGAGCGAGATCTGCTAATGATATCTGTCGTCGCGAGTCGGGCCCGCAGCCCACATACAAACCGCGAGGCAAGATTGGGCAAAGCGAGCCTTGGAAGGACAAGAGAAGAAGGCGTTTGGGGGTTGGGGAGGAGGATGCGTGGGGAGAAATTGAGATAGGAGGAGGGGGTACGGGCCCTTCCCCCGCTCCCTGCTGCTCTTCTTCTTCCTCCTCAATCCCTTCCTTACTTCATTATCCTCCCCTCGTCTCTTAGCATCTCCCGCCGTCCCCCTCTGCCCTCCCCGTCGTGTTTTGTTGCTGTGCCGCGAAATGGACCCTAGATGTTACCCCTTCCCCGTGACCAGTTTCTCTCGCTGGTCAGTTTTTGTTGACGGTCCAGAGGCCACCTGGAGGCCGAAGTTGGCAGGCAGCCGTCGGTCGTGTTCTTGTTCGCGAGCCGAGGAGATCAGGGTCGGGAGGTCAAACATATGTCCCAGGCCACTGTTGGGGTTCTTTCTGACTGCAGAACTCCGAAGCGAGAATTTAGCCGCGGAGGCGAGAGACCAGGAGGAGGCCCACAACGCCTCGATGCTCGAAGTTCGAAATCCTCATCGCATCTTGCAGCATCGTTTAACCAACCCCTATCCCCATCCCCATCCCTATCCAGACCCCGCCATCTCAGCACCCCAGTTGGGGATCGGCCCCTCGAAACTGGAGGAAACAGCTTACATCCCAATCTAGAGAGGGGAAGTCGGCCAGTGGGGGCCCAGGCGGCGCCCGTGGGGATAAGGGTCGGCCAAGCGATGTTCTCCCTCCTCCGCCCGCCTCTCTCGCTGGAGGTGCGCCGTTCTGCCGTCTAGGTCCGAGAACTCCCCCATGGCGGTCACGGAGCTGCTGACGGCCAAGGCGAGGACGAGCGGGAGGGCGAGGGGGCGAGGGCGAGGGCTGGAGCGAAAGCGAAGGCTCTCGGACGCGTCTCGTGCGCTGGGCCCAGGGTGCTTCGAGAGGAAGTTTTCGGGCCCCGCGGTGTGTGTGTGTGTGATTCAGCAGCTGCGCCCCCCTGTGGGGAGCGTTCTGGGGGCACCCGAGGCAGCCCCAACGGCCGTCGGAGCCCACATATATTGCCCATTCCTAAATATTCGAGAGTTCTCCTTTCATTTCCAATTTTCTATCCTGGGCCTATTCCTGGTCACTAGGGGGCCAGGAATAATTTGAAACGAGCACAATTAGAAGTGAGCACGATTAGAAATGAACGACGTTTAGTTCTGGCCCGAAAACCGACCTCCTCGCGCCGTGGGGAAATCACGACGGGCGGTTTGTGCCCGCTTCTGGGTTTCTGGGGCCCTCATTGGGCCGCGGAGTCATCAACCGAGTGGCTCGGAGTGAATGGAGCATCCCGCCGGAGGGTCCAGATTTCAGGAGTACGGGCTGCGAGCGAAAATGCGGCGTCAGAGGTCTGCGGAGGGCTTGAGCGAGGGCGAGGAGGGCGAGAGCGAGGAGGAGGAGGCGGAGGCAAGGGATCAGCAAGGCGTGCAGTGTGAGGCGCAGCCGAAGCCCTTCGAGTAAGATAGGGGCCCTGAATATTGACTCCCACGGCCAGAGGCTCACGCAGGACCTCCGCGGGACCCTGCGGCTGTTCTGGGCTGGCTTCGTCAAAATCTGCAGATCGAGATCAGGACCCACGGATGTCGTTAGGGTACCCTTGTGTCCTTGCCTCTGCGGCCCGTCCTTCGCGGTTTTCACTGGCCAACCCTTCAGGGTGTTGGCAGTCCGCCCGAGAGGTGCCAACTTCGGCGTCCAAGGCCTTTGCGTTCTTACCGCCCGTCCTCATTATAGATGTCGCTTGTAGAGACATCGGCCCGTCTTAGGATCCGTGCCCTGCCACGCCGACTCATCATGCACAGGCCGGGCGGGCGCCCCAAGCCCTCACTGGGGCCAGCCAGGGCAGATCTCCTTGGGCGGTGCTGGGCCGTGCTGGTGCCAGCTGCTCGTGAGAGTGCGCCTGCGTTAGGATGACCTGTGGTGCGCGGCTTCCGGGGCGCAGGGGGACCAAGACCCCCGACGTCGTCATCCACAACGTCAGATGCTCATGCTGGGGACCTTCCTGGAGCCACTCGCTCCACTCGTGCGTCGAAGTTGTGTCGAACCTGCGTCGAACCCGAGCCGAAGCTGCGTCGAACCCGAGTCGAAGTTGCGTCGAACCCGAGTCGAACCTAAGTCGAACCCGAGTCGAACTGGAGTCGAACAGATCCGTTAGGTGGGCCCCAGGAAGGTCCCCAGCACGAGCATTGAGACAACGTGGATCCTTGAAGGTCTGGACCTGTTCCCCGGGACCGGTTCCTCATCCCGAGTCGTTGCTTGACGGTCCCAGGCCCCCCAAGGCCCTCGGATGTGGAGAATTGACAGAATTTTGCCAGCGCGACTTCCTCGCAACGAGAGAAGGTCTGGCAGGGGGAGGACGCGGAGAGGGAGGAGGGGCAGCAGCGAGGGTGAGGAGTCCCAGCGTGGCAGGTGCCGTTCCTGGCGGCGAACGTCGGCGGCATCCCCGAGCTCATCGCTTCCGAGAGCCACGCGACGTCTCTCTTCCAGGCCAACAACGTGACCGCGCTCGCGGAGGCCATCGCCAGGGCGTTGGATCACGGCGTCACCGTCGCGCGGGCCGCGCGGTCGCTAGGCCCCGCGGGCAGCAGGGGGAAACGGCGAGCCGCAGAGCTCGGAGGGAAATCACCAGGAGGCTGGGTAAACCAGACGCGGCCAGCTTGGCCGAGAGCTCGATACAGGTTGCCACGTGCCTTTCGAAGCGCGCTTGCCATTCCATTGCCTAGGTCTGGCTCTCCGAAGGCGTATCCAGCGCGTGTCCCCCAGGTGCTCTACGTGTGATATCCAGCCGTGTGTGCTTCCAGCTCGCTGGGGCGGCCCGCGTTTTCTTCCAGAGTCAGATCGGCGGCGAGCCTGGGGGGGGAGGTGAGAAGGGGCGGGCCTTCTCAGAAGGCCGGAGGACTTCTGGGAAGTCCCGCCGCCTTCTGAAAAGGCCTGCTCCCTCGAACCTCCCCCGCCCAGGCGCGCCGCAGAGTCAGACCCAGGGGCTCGCTCGGTCGTGCCCACGGCGCCTGGTCCGTGAGAGAGTTCGGGTGGGAGATCGACTCTAGAATGGATTTACCCCAGAAGTGATACTTCCCGACGGATTTGCGAGGCAGTGCATCGAACGTCCCTAGCTCCACGATCCCTTTACTATTTTTTAGACTCGACGAGAAAATGACCTGCTCCTGCTCCTGCAGGGCCAGGTCATGCCTGCTCAATGCCTGGGCAGGGGGGGAGGATGACCTGCTCCTGCGGGGCCACGCGGGGGCGCGGAGGTGTAGGTCGTCGCGCCTCGCGCGGGCCGCGCAGCGCGGACATCCCCATACTTCTTTGCGGGGTGGGCGGCAGACATGATCTCGTCCTGAAGAACAAGAAACAATAGGGACGCGAGGTTTCGGTAGTTTTCGGCCTCTAGGGGCCTTCGCCGGGCTGTTTGACCGTCGACAGACGGCTCAGTGTGCAAAGCTGGTCCTGGGGAAAGGGCGAGGATTTTCCAGGGACCCCGTATCGAGAATATCAGGACATGGGATGTCTAGGGCGGGAGTCGGGCAGGCTATAGGACATGGATTAAGCGATCCAGAGCGTGCCGGAGTGTTCTCATATCGTTCCTGGACACTACAGGAAGGCCGCCGTGCCTTTCATATCCTTCAGGACCGCTGGATCTCAAAGATCCCGTTTTGTTCTCTGGTTTTTTGCTCTGCCTAAATTGTTCCAGAGCGTTCGGGAACCCGGTACGGCCCGGTGTTTCTTAACGTGGGCGTTGCATCCCCGGGCAGGGCTAGGACAGGGATAGATCGTTCCAGAGTGTGCTTCCAGAGCGCTCTGGAACGCTCTCAGAGAAGGCCGCGGCGCCCGACTCATTCGGGTGTTGCGAAAGGTGTCCCTGGCCCAAAGGTGCCCCCAGCTTTTCGCTCCATTCTGGAGCCCCTGGGGCCCTCTGGCCCTCGTCCGGGGCTCTCTGGAGGCCGTGGGGGCCTCCTTGGAAGTCCTGGGGGCAGCTTGGGCCAGGAGCATTTCTGGCAACGTCCGACACATGCTCCAGGACCGCTAAATCTCAGGGATCCCCGAGTTGTCCCGGTCCGATGCTGCCCCTGTCATGGCCTCGTCTCGGGGAGGGGGCGCGGGGGCCACGGCTCGCACCGCAGTCCTCAGAGGCCCCTGTGCGCTCCTGCTCCCGCCAGCGGAGCTGGCGGCGTCTCGGCAACTGTGGCACGGTGGCGCACGCAAAGGTGGTGAAGGAGGATGGTGCGAGGGAGCGAGGGAGGGGAGGGGAGCGGAAGAAGGAGAAGGAGAGGGGCAGGGATGGAGGGGGGGTGGAGGCGGCAGGGATGGAACGGCGCAAAAGCAGGGAGAAAGGGGGGAAGGAGAGGAGGAAGTGAGAAAGAGGGGGTGGATACGTGTGCATACACACACATTTGTATATATATATATATACATACACATACATATATATATACACATATACATATGTATACAGATATACATTTATACACAGATTTGCATTCATAGAGAACTAGAGAGAAGCAACCAACAAAAAGTGAGAGAAAGGTATAAAGCGGAACAAACATAGGAAGATGGGTTCCTCAACAGCTCTCTTCCCCGGACTCGCCCACTTCACGCTGCCGCTCCCAACTCCCCAGACTGACCGCGCGAACAAACAAAAGAAAGCCCAGATCAGGTCCAGTCAGTGGCCGTGGTGACCCCCCCAGTCTCGGTGCACGATGCGCGCGGAGCCATGACTGTCCCGACGACGCAGGGGGATGGTTGTGGGCGTGTGGGCTCTTACCGTGCGCGTTTAGCATATCCACACGCAATAATTAATTCTTTACGCTTCGCGTATCCCCACCAGCCCATCTCACAACAGCAACTCTTGCGAAGCGTGCCGACAGTTGTGTTTTTCAGGCGTGTGTCCGCTTGGCCCCGCATATCTCCCCTGTTCCTCCTTCTTCCCGCCTCCTTGTACATCCTCCTTGTGGGGGCAGCGGGAGAAGGACGACGCGGAAGAGGAGGGAGAGAAAGCGGTGGGAGGCAAGAGGGACTCAGCGGAGAGGACGATCTCAGCGATGATCTGAACAACGACGACGCACCCGACGACGACGACGATGTCGACCGCAACGACGACGACCACAACCGCGTCGACGACGACGACGACGACGTCGACGACGACGACGACGAAGGCGGCGGTGCGGGCCCTCCCCCTGGTGTGAGTCGTTCGGGCTCCTCGTGTTGTGAGTCGTTCGGGCTCCTCGTGGTGTGAGTCGTTCGGGCGCGTCGTCCTGGTGTGAGTCGTTCGGGCCCCTCGACCTGGTGTGAGTCGTTCGGGCTCTTCTTGGTGTGAGTCGTTCGGGCCTCTCGTCCTGGTGTGAGTCGGTCGGGCTTCTCGTGGTGTGAGGCGTTTGGGCACTTCGTCCGCGTGCGAGTCGTTCGGGCCCTTCGTAGTAGGAGTCGTAGTAGTAGTAGTAGTAGTAGTAGTAGTAGTAGTAGTAGTAGTCGTAGTAGTAGTAGTAGTCGTCGTCGAAGTAGTAGTAGTAGTAGTAGTAGTAGTAGTAGTAGTAGTAGTCGTCGTAGTAGTAGTACGAGTACTAGTAGCAGATGAAGTAGTATTAGTAGTACCGGTAGTAGTAGTAGTAGCAGTAGCAGTAGTAGTTGTAGTAGTAGAAGTAGCAGTAGCAATGACACTAGCAGTAGCAGTGACAGTAGAAGTAGCCGTCGTAGTAGAATTCGTAGTGCTCGTAATAGTACTAGCACGAGTAGCAGTCGTAGCAGTAGTAGTAGTAGTAGTACTAGTAGTAGCAGCAGCAGTAGTAGTAGTAGTAGTAGTAGTAGTAGTAGTAGTAGTAGTAGTAGTAGTAGTAGTAGTAGTAGTAGTAGTAGGTAGTAGTAGTAGTAGTAGTAGTAGTAGTAGTAGTAGTAGTAGTAGTAGTAGTAGTAGTAGTAGTAGTAGTAGTAGTAGTAGTAGTAGTAGTAGTAGTAGTAGTAGTCGTAGTAGTAGTAGTAGTAGTAGTAGTAGTCGTAGTAGTAGTAATAGTGGTAGTAGTAATAGTAGTAGTAGTAGTAGTAGTAGTAGTAGCAGTAGTAGTAGTAGTAGTAGTAGTAGTAGTAGTCGTAGCAGTAGTAGTAGTAAACGACCCTGCCTGTCGCTCCGGGCGGTCGGCTTGGCTGCTGGCCGCTGGGCGGCTCTGGGCGGCGTCGGGGCTCCGCTGACCGATTACTAGATGCATCCATGTATATCTTGTATATGTATTGTGTGTCGACGTATATGTATATATGTATATATATATATATATGTATATATACATATAACACGGACGCAGTTGAGAGTCGATGGGGGGAGGGGGCCTGGCCCGCGGCCTAGGGCGGGGCCCGAGACTCTGGGACGGGACCCAGGGCCTCATCATCGTAGGATGCTCATCATTCTCATCATCGCTATGATGGTGGGGGAGGAGGAGGACAGCTACCAACTGCGCGTTGGCGCCACCGCCGCCCCCCAGCTCCTGCTGGCGCACCCGCAGTGCGGCTGCGGGAGGGGCTGCGCTTCAATTCCTGCAGAGGCGGTCTGCAGGAATGTTTCAATTTTGGCGTCTTGTATAAACGCCCGAGCGGCCCACCCTTTTTTGGGGGGCTGGCGGTTCACGGGGGAGGAGGAGACCATCATCATCCCCCTTGCCGCGTTCGCCTTCCCTCGACGACGATGTCGACGACTTCCCACGTTCTGGCTGAAAGGCGGGCCCACTCTCTCCGTTCGGGCCGCTTGTTTTTTTGGGGGGTGTTCTCGGAGTCGTTCGGGCCGTTCGTTCGTGCGCGCGTGCTTCTGGAGTTTTCTGCGCGTCGTTCGGGCCGCTCGTCCTGGCGCGAGTCGTTCGGGCCCCTCCTCGCCAGCCCATCTCACAGCGGCAACTCTCGCGAAGCATGCTGACAGTCGTGTTTTTCAGGCGTGTGTCCGCTGGGCCCCGCGTATCTCCCCTGCTCCTCCTTCCGCCTCCTTGCACATCCTCCTTGTGGGGGGAGCGGGGGAAGGACGAGGCGAAGGAGGAGGGAGAGAAAGCGCTCCTCGTGGTTTGAGTCGTTTGGGGTTTCTCGTCCTGGTCTGAGTCGTTCGGGCTCTTCGTTGTGTGAGTCGTTCGTTGGGGGGCCTCTTGGAGGCCTCTTGGGAGCCTCCGGGGGGGCCTCTTGGGGCCATCTTGGGGCCTCTTGCGACCTCCGCAGAAGCGCGAAGGAGAGCTGCCCCCTGAGAAGGACAAAATGAGCCCAAAACCATTGTAAAATCAATGAGTGGAGTAGGAGGCAGAGCAGCAGTGACGCGATGAGTAGTAGCAGCAGTAGTTGTGGTAGACTTCGTAGTGGCAGTAGAAGTAGTAGTGGGAGTAGTAATAGTAGGAGTCGTCGTAGTAGTCGTAGTAGTCGTTGTAGTAAATGACTGAGGGCGGTCGTCGTCGAAACCAGCGATCTTTCCCGACCAGCGTTGTTGTCGTTGCCAGTCTGGCTTCTAGTATTGGAGTGTGGCTGTGAGCTTCGCTCCGCCTACCCGTAACGCACGCGCCTACTGAGTTTTTTGGCACGAGGTGGCCTGTGTGCGCAAATGCCGCACGTAGC